CTGGTCGTTGGATTTTTGGAAATACTATTTTTCAGAGCGTTGTACCCAGCACTTTACATATATTGATCTCTGTATAGGAGAATCTCTGCTTCGTATGTTGCACGCGCTGCAGGCTGGGCCTTGATGGTCAGGTGGGCCCCCGGCTGCGGGTTTCTGGGGTCCGGCTGAGCCCAGCTCCCCGCCTCCCTCCCTTTTTGCAAGGGTACAGGAGTCCCGTGACTCCCAGAGCCAGGCCCTACCCTCTGCTCACTGTCCAGCCCCTGAAGCTTTCCATGTTGATGTAGAGCCTCCAGGACCAGGTGTCCCAGAGGGAATGACAGCTGAGCTGAGCAGGAATTGGGCAGGGGCTGTGGGTGTGGACTGACGTGCCTGAGCTGGGGACAGCATGTGCGAGGGCCTAGAGGCCAAGAGAGCAGGTCCTGTGAGGTTCTGGGAAAGAGGTCCTCTGTGCAGTTGGCATATAGGGCCTTGCGAACTCCTGCGTGGGGCAGAGGATGGGAAGGCTTGCTGTGCTGGCGTGGGGGAGGCGTGATCCAGGCTGTGCTCCCGCTTCTCCCGCGTCCCCTCCTTGAATATCCTTGTGACACCTCCCCCCCCAGAACTGGCGTACCCAGGCCTGGGCTTGTCCGTCTTCCCTGATGAGTAGCAGGCACCAAGTCCCCCGCTCCTGCTTTCCTCTCCTCTGCCAGGAAGCCTCTGGTGCCTCAGGCCCCTGTTCCCCGCCTCCCTCCACCCTGTCTTCTGGTGGTGTTAGATGTGCCTTCCTCCGGGCCTGACCTGGGTCCGGCCCTTGGTGTGGGATCCCAGGTGTTCCCCTGGCCCAGTCCCCAGAGGGTGACTGGGTGGCTGTGGCGCCCAGTGGGGTAAGCGCTCTTGCCCCAGCTAATGGAGCTGGCTTCCGTAGGAAGGTTCTGAAGAAGATTGTTAACGGATGTGCCGCCATCCTTCAGGACAAGTGGACTGATGGACAAGCCTGGTCCGTGCCCTAAGGAGCCTCGAGGCCCGGGAGGATGGCCAGGCCGTTCGGCCCCGGGGAGTTCCGCTGGGCTATGAAATCCAAGCTGCGTGGCTCGGGCTGGAGGGCCACGATGTCCTGCCAGGAGGAGACGGCTAAAGGTCTGCCGGATGGCGGGGAGGAGGGGAGAAGGGAGGGGTGCACAGCCCAGGGGCTGATCCTAGATGGCAGGTGGGAGTGAGGGCTCCTCCCTTCCTGCTGTGTGTCCTGGGGGTCAGTTCAGTAGTTTCTGTGAAGGTTGACACTTGGGGGCAGTGGATACTAAATATCTCTCCCAGCTCAGAACCGGGGGCATCAGGAACCCCTGGCTCTAGGTGGTCCCAGGTCCTCCCACCAGGGATGCCATTGTGGGGGAGAGTGCATTGCCTTTGGGGGTGCATGAAGGTGGAGACTAGGGTGGCCCAGAGGAGCAGGTTGCAGTGGCTTCCGGGCGGTGGGCCTGTGGAGGCGTTGGGGCGATTCTTGGTGCCCGGATGCCCCAGCAGCTTCTAGAAGGCCTAGGCACCTGAAAGGGAAAGGTTTGCAGCCTTCTCCCCCGTCTCCCCAGGCCCAGCTCCATCTTCTGTGGGCTGAGCCCTCCTGGGCCCCCTCTTGCCTTACACACTATATTACGGCTGCCCTTTTGAGGTCCCTGGGCTAGGACTGGGGTGAGGCAGAGGTGGGGGAGCTGCCTTGCCTCAGGACTCCCCGGGAGGCCATGGAAGGGGCACCCCACAGAACCCGTTGTCAGGCATGCAGGAGGCGCGACCCGGGCTCGTTCTGGAGTGGGTGGCGGGATCATCATGGGCCCTGCCGCCTGGGGGCCCAGCCTGAGCACGCGTGTTCAGGGGAAGTTCTGGGGCCCACGGGGAGTGGTTTGCTTTGAAGGTGACCAGCAGGCAGCTCTTGGTGGGACTGAGCGGCAGCTGTGGGGACCTTCTATCACTTGTGGGGTGACTCTGGGGCCCACCGGAGGCCCCTTATGCCCTGGAGGGCTGAGATGGCAGGAGGAGGGTATCCCAGGGCATTAGCCCTTGGTGTCCTCACTGTGGGTGGGTGGGACGGGGTCCGGGAGGGTAATGGAGTTCACACTGCTTGGAGCCGCAGGGAAGGCTGAGGGAGTTGAGGTCAGCCAGCGTCCCAGCCGTGTGGCAGCAGTGGGGCCTGATTGCTGGCACAGCTGCCCCTGTGACGCCGGGGACGCCTGGCTCGGGGCACGGCAGGCATCACTGAGCAGAGGCCCCGGAGAGGTGGTGCAGGGTGATAAGGAGAGCCTCAGGGCCATCTGGTGGCCGCTGCTGGCCAGAGGGAGGGCAGGAGGCTGGGCAGGAAGTCCCTAGTGTTGGGCTTATCAGTCCCTGGGACCCTCCAGCCCCAGCAAGGACAGCCAGGTCGGTGGGGGCCGTGTGCACCGAGCGCTGGGGAGGGCCAGAGTCCGTCAGGCCCCGCCCAGGTGTCCCTCGGCAGACGGGGACTCCGCTCGGTCTCGGCATGTTGCCTCGATGGCTTCTCTGAAGCAACTGCTCTGCCCAGAACAAGGCCCACTTTTCTCTGGGGTGAAGCACACTGGTTCGTTTGGCCCACTCATTCCGGTCTGAGGAGGTTTGACTATGGCCAGTCCTGCCCCCGACCATGCCCACCCATCGGCCCAGTGACTCCCAACCTGGTGGAGCTCAGGGGCCAGAGTCTTTACCCCAGACGCCTGCCAGGGAGGACAGAGGAGGCTGGGCCACGAACCGGAAAGGCACACCGTGGGACCCGCCCTGCTGTCGGGGTGGCCTGGGGGAGGCGGCTGTGAGGGCAGTGAGGGCCTTGCTCTGCCCGTCCTCTGGCTGTGGGGATGTGACTCCACGCAAGGGCCACGCCACACGCGGCCTCCATCCTGGTATTACCTCGATGCAGATCACTCTGGCGTCCCTTCCTCTCCATGCCTCACCAACTGTCAGCTACTGTACTGGGAAGAGTTTCCTGAATTCCCGCCGGTCCTGTTCAGAACAGGGATGCTTCCCGGGGAGCCGGGAAGGAAGGAAACCCTCGTGGTCAGGGACGGCCACATGCAGTGTTTGCGCCTGTTCCCGCCCTGGCCCCACTGTGGTTGTGTCCTGCTACCTTTTCTTTTCTTTTCCTTTTTAAAGGAAAGAACTTCCCACTTTTTTTTTTTTTTAAGTTTATTTAGAGAGAGAGGGAGAGAGAATCCCAAGCAGACCTCACACTGTCAGCGAGGAGCCCGATGTGGGGCTCGAACTCACAAACTGCGAGATCATGACCTGAGCTGAAGTCGGACGCTTAACTGACAGCCACCCAGGATCCCCTTGTCCTGCTACATTTTTATTTTTATTAAAAAAAAAATTTTTTTTCAACGTTTATTTATTTTTGGGACAGAGAGAGACAGAGCATGAACGGGGGAGGGGCAGAGAGAGAGGGAGACACAGAATCGGAAACAGGCTCCAGGCTCTGAGCCATCAGCCCAGAGCCCGACGCGGGGCTCGAACTCCCGGACCGCGAGATCGTGACCTGGCTGAAGGCGGACGCTTAACCGGCTGCGCCACCCAGGCGCCCCGTTGTCCTGCTACATTTTTAAATGGAGCATGACTGACAGACGATAGATGCACAGAGTTTATTTTTTCTTAAAGATGAAAAGAGGCCTTTTCTTTTTCTTTTTTTCTTTTTAAGTAGGCTCTACGCCCAATGTGGGGCTTGAACTCACGACCTCGAGATCAAGAGTCTCATGCTCTTCCCACCGAGCCGGCCAGGTGCCCTGAGACGCACAGACTTTAAATGTATAGTCTGAGGAGTTCTGACAGATGTCTACACATGTAACCACCACCTTGATCAGGACAGAGGTGAAGACCGAGATTTCTGTCTTAAGTGATTTTTAAAAAGAATTTCTGCTTATAGAATTCACACCGGAGGCAGAGCACTGGGACTGCAGAGAAATCCAGGGCAGGGCCTGGCAGGGTTTCCTCACGGAAACATTGTCCTGCTCGCCCTCCGTTGTCTGGCTGCCAAAAAAGGGGGCCAGCTGCCTGCCACCAGCCCACCGACCAACCACTACGAGCATGTGGGTGTATTTTCTTCCAGTTTTTTCTATGCATGTATATAAATATATTAAAATTATTTTCTATGCATATTTTTTACATACATGACATCAGATCGCTTAAATAAGTACTTTTAAACTTACTGTAGTCTAAGCACTTTCCTATATTGTAAAATGCTTTGAAAATGACTTCTCAGGAGCCTTTGGTGTTTACCTGGTGATATCTGATTCAGCTAATGTTGACAGCATAAGGAGTTAATGTTGGCACTTTTTAAAATGTGAATTTTATTTATTTTGAAATAAATAATACATTTACATGGCTTGACATTCAAAAGATACAAACCCACCAAAGGTTAGAAGGGTGCGAATACCTGTGCATTGTATTATTTCCTTCTCCCTTCTCTCTCTCTCCCCCTATGTATCTGCAACACCACGTTATTACACACGGAAGACCTGTGGCATCAATGTGGCCAAGCCCTGGCCCGTTTCCTCCGGGACACGTGCCTCTAACAGCCACACAGGAGGCCGCGCTGGAAGCTGCCCCTGGAGGTCAGCGGTTCGCGTCAGGCAATGATAAAATGGCCTGTGTTATGCACTTCCCCCCAATTTAGGATTTGGTCCCGAGGACAGGATTCCGGAAGTGGAGTTTGTGGGTTTGCAAGTTTGAAGATTGCTCCGCGTGCGCCCCGCCTGGGTGCCAGGGGTTAAGCTAAGCGACACGCTTTCATCTGGGTCCGTACGAGAGCCGTAGGTCCTCTGACTGGCGTGTACAAGTGTTTAAGGTACATCGTCATCGTCTGATGCCACAATTGTCTCCCCTTTTAATCTTTTGTGGGGTTTTAAATTTATCACATTTTAATATTTTGAGGAAATCAAATCTGTATACTTACTTCTCTGTGGCTTTTCCCATCACTTTGGAGTCTAGAAAGCCTTTGCCATCCAGAAATCGGATACTGTTTCCCCCTAGCTTTTTCTTTAATCCACTTAATGGCTATTTTGTCCAGATAACGAGGCAGTGGTCCACATCAGCGGTGGCCGCACCTGCCTGTCCCCTCTTCTACGACGTGCCCCCACCGTGCCAACCCCTGGCGGGCCTGGGCAGCTGTGTCCCTGGCCTGCCCTCCCACGCCACGCTTACACCGCCCGCTGCTGCCATCGCTCTTGGCAGCCCCCACCTATTTCCTCCCCCGACAGTGAGGCGGCCTCATGCAGCACTGGTCTGGGGTTCCACAGAGCTGGGCTCCGATCCCAGCGGCCCCTGCGTGACCTCCAGCAAGTCAAAGAACCCGAGCGTCCCTGAGACTGACGGTATCTCTCTCAGGGGGCTCTGGTGGGACACGAAGCGGCTCAGGGGCCCCGGGCGCACGTCTGGCAGTCGGGGACCCTTGTGGGCACAGACACTGTTCTGGGACTTCTTCCCTGCCTCCCTCCAGCAGAACACGCCAGGGAGGGTTCTGGCAGCCTGACTTAAGCCCACCAGTTCCTTTGGAGAGGACTCCTGTCTTTGCACGATGTACTTAGTCTTCCATCGGGAGGGTCGGCCGTGTCTTCCTTCATTCAAGCTTTGTTTGACATCCGTGAAGCGTGACATTCCCGGACACGAGTCCGACATTTCCTGTTCAGGTCTTTCCTGGCACACGCTGTGTCCTGCTGCCGTTACGAACGTGCTCTCTTCCCACGTGCGGGCTCCCGGCAGCGCACTGCGGCTATTTGCTATTGTTTTTTGGATGGAGGCTCGGGAGCCCCTCCAGAGCCTGCCCACAGCAGCCCGGCCTCAGCGGGCCTCCGTGCGGAGACAGCCCCGCGCTCCGCCTCCCCTGAGGGTGTCCTTCCCAGGGGCTGCCGGGGGTACGTCTACCTCTGGAGCGACGGTTCGGTCAGGACGGCCGCCCCGGGGAACCTGGTGCGCATTTGCACACCCAGCAGGCCACGCGATGGCATCCGCCGCGCTCTCCTGGCAGGGGGGCTGGGCTGGCGAACGCCGTCGGCAGAGGCTTCCGGCACCCGTGGGCGGGTCACCCCCGCGAGTGCCCGCCAGGGGTCCCTTCTCACGGCTCAAACACCAGACTCGACCACATTTGGAAAAAGTCTAGTTTATTGCACTGTCTCAAAGCACAACTAAAATTTAAACCGGAAAGGAAAACCGTACAAAGCACTGAAGCTAAAAGTAGTTTCAAAGTATCAAACTAGACTCGGGTTTAATTGCACTAAAGTCCCGTGGGCTTAGGAGAGCTCTGCCATCTGAGAGGAGCCGGACAAGGCACAACAGACACACAGGAGCCGCAGCCAGCCTGGGCCGGCCTCTGCCGTCCCCCAACCTTTCCGTTTAAAATAAGGGTTCTATAAAAGTGAAGTGGGATCTGGGATTTCAGCATCCTGCCCTCGTTTAGACCTGGAACGCCTCCATCTTCGCGGCTGGCCGCTCCTGTCAGGGAACGTATTTTATCGCTCTTCACCTGTGGCCTGGGGCTCCCGGACACACTTGCTTAGTAGAAAACAGGCATCGAGTAACTGGGCCCTGGGCCAAAGGCAAGCTAAAAACAGCAGCGAGGCTGGAGGCCCGCTCCCGAGCTGGGTCTGGGAGGGGGTGGGGGTGGGGCTCGGGGCGGGGCGCACGGCCGGGCCCCAAGCCCCGTGGCCCAGCGGCCGGCGAGCAGAGGGGGGGCCCTGCAGGCGGAGCCCACGGACCGACGGCCGGCGCGGCCACGGTGGGCCCAGTTTGAACCTTCCGGGGTGATCAACCCGATGCCCGCCTCTCGGGGCCAGCCGGCGGGTCCCGTGACGGCCCTGCGCGTTGAGGACACGCCGAGGGGGACGCCCGCTCTCTGTGACGCTGCAGCTGGGGACAGCGCGGCCTCAGGCAAACCACGCAAAGGAACGAAGGGCCCTTCCAGTGGTTTCAGAAAAGACGTTTCTCCTCTAAATTTGTCAGAGTTGATCTCAAATGAGGTATCTTATGCAGGTTTGTAATACAACGAACGAAAAAGGCAATAATTAGTAGACTCATCCCGTGAGGATGCTTCTGGTCTTTACGATACCCGCCAGCAGCATTAGTTAAATACTAGTCTAGAGACGTTTCTCGGTTACTAACGTGGCTGGGCTCCCCCACGTCCGGCCGCCCCTACCTGGGCCGCCGCTGCCTTGGAAACACGCGCACCTCTCCCACCCCGTCTTGTCCACCGGCCTTTACTGTTTGGGCTGAAGCGTGTTCTCCCGGAGGCGGCCGGGAGGGCGTGGGCGGCGTGCGCGTGCGTGCGTGTGCGCGTGCGCGTGCCGCATCCGGGCACAGCCCAGCACCCCGCCTCTCAGACGCGGCCCCGGTTCCCCAAGCGGGGCGTCCGGCGCGGAGCGTGTGCCGGAGCCCGCGTCCCCGTGGTGGCAACGAAGCGGTCGCCAGGCCACCCCGCCCGCCCGCCCCCACCCCCACCCCCACCCCCCGCGGTCAGAGAGTGCCGACCTCCGGCTCCGTTTCGCCGGGGGTTACCCACGCGGCCGTCCCCGCACTGGGCCCCGCACTGGGCCCGGAGCGGCCGGAGGACGACAGAGCAAGAGCTCAGAGGCGCTGCCGCTCTGGCCACGGCTCCGGGCCGCTCGGCTGAGGCCGTGGGTTCTGGAACAAGACGGAAAGAAACACGGACGAGAGCAAGCGTGGGCCGTCCGACCCGGCCCCACCTGGCTGGCCGAGAGCGAGCGCCACCACCGCACCGCGTCCGCTGCGCGTGCCGGCTTCCTCCCTCCTGAGCGGCCCTGCCCCCGCTCCTTCAGATGACCTCCCACTCGTCCTCCAGGTCCTCGGGGTGGGGGGTGGGGGCGTGGCCGCCGTGGGCGCCGTGAGAGTGGCTGAAGGTCTTGGTCAGCCGCTGGAGGAGGTAGCCTGGGGGGCCGACTGCCCACAGCTCGTCTGACGAGGTCACTGCAGGGGACGAGAGCCGGCCACACGCTCGTCGGTCAGCGGGCCCGGGTGGGGGACACACGCGGAGAAGGGGCCGCTCCGCCATCCCGACCCGTGCCTCGGTTTCCTCAGCTCGAAAGCGGGCGGCCCAGCACCCTGTGCTCCTCCTGGGAGACTCCGGCCAGCCAGGTGCCAGGCGCCCTCCCTCTGGTGTGACCCCCGGCTCTCTGGAGAGCGAGCCCGGCGGGGGCGGCCTCTGGTGGAGCCTCTGCTGACACTGCCCGCGGGAGCCTCGGACCCAGGGAGAGCCGCGCAGCCCCGAGCCCCGCGGAGCCCTGGCACCTGCCTGTGAAACACGTCACGTTTCCGGGAATCTTCTTCCAGTAGTCTCCGGCAGGGTTTTTGTCGGTGACGCCGTACCGCCGGGCGAGATCGCCGTTGGGGCAGCGGGCCCACACGGTCCTGGTGCTCAGGGCCAGCTGGCAGGCTTGCAGCCCTGCAGGCCAACAGCGTGTCCATCTGTCCGCATCCCTGCTGGGACAGGACAGACCGCCCCCTCCCACGGGGCTGCTCCCTCCCCCCACTGGGCGGCCCCGCGGTGACCGTGCCCGGCGCTGGCCGAGGGAGAGCAGCCCCACCGGCTGAGCCCGCGAAGCTGCCGGGAGCCCGGGGCCACAGGACAGAAGGGTCCAGGCCGGGCGGAAACGATCCTCCCGGAGAGGACTCCGCGGTGAGGGGGGCTGGCTGGGTCCCTCAAACAAGGAATGTTCCGCTAGTGGCTCGCCGGTCACCTGCCTCAGCACAGCAGCGGAGAGGAGACAGAGCTGCTGCGTGGGGGACAGCCTGCCGGACGGACCAGGGGCCCGTGTGAGGGGACAGCCGGGACCCCCCCTGCCTCGTCTCTACCTGGCACGTGCTCCCAGTCGGTCCCCACCGGCATCTCTTCGGTGATCCCCGCCCGGACGTGGACGTTCCACCTGCTGTCGAGTGCCCACAGCATCTGGTCGTTGGGGCTGGAGTGCAGGCTCACCAGCGTGACCCCAGCAGGCTGCAGGCAGGAAGGGGCTTTCCTCAGGGAAGGAGGCGGCGGGACGTGTTATTTTTGGAGCCGGGCCGGGAGGTTTGGAGCCTGACACGGTGCAGGAGGTGCGGGGGAAGCCGAGCGGACCCCGTCCTGCCTCCGAGCACGGCCTCACGGGGAGAGACGCCAGCCCCGCCACGGCAGGTGAACCCACGCCGAGGGACCGCCCACCCGACCAGGAGCCCCAGCTCGTCAGCACAGCAGGTCCCGAGGGACAGAGAGGCAGGAGAAGGAAGGGCGGCAGGCAGCGCACACGGGGACCTGGGCTGGGACGGTGGCAACAGAAGAGCACCGTGTCGCCCCCGTCCACATCCCTGTCCGACGGCAGGTGACGCGGGGGAAGGAAGGCCAG